AGGGCTCAGATTCCAGACGAAAAAGAGTGGTAGCCATCAGACAGCCACCAGCGCCACAACACTACAAGCAGCACCAACGCGAGTGAAAACCTCAGCTTACCACGTAGCCTGGGGACTGAGACGCAGTTGGAGAAACTGGGGCTCCCCCGCTTGAAGCCTTTCCCTCCCCTGTTTCAGTAGGGGACCCACCTGCGCCACCGTCGTTGCTGGCACTTCCCGAGTCCCCTGTAGCACAGCAGCAACACTTTCACAGCCCCGCTCCAAGTCCCTCAAGCAGGAGGAGTAAACACGAGGAGAAGCGGCAGAAGGGAAAACAACAAAGTAGGCAACGTGTAGGGGCAGCTCAAGCATGCGCAGTGGCATTCAAAATAAAACTTCACGGAAGTTAATTTGATGTGCTGCAAGCTTAAAGTCACAGAGGCTGAACCCTCGACCCTAGGCCCCGATTCTTGAAACCGACCTAGTAGAGCGCCTCCTACGGCCGACAGGAGAGCCTCCGCCGCTCCGCCCGCTTCTTCTGCTGCAGCAGCAAGTCCAGCCACAGCATCTGCTGCAGCACTAGGTGTTGCTGCAGCAGCTGCTGCTGCTGCCTTTGGCTTCCTCCACAAATAGCGTAGCTGGTTCCTAAAACCTCGTCTATTGCTGCTGATGCTCGAGTCAAGCTGCCGTATGCGTTGCTCTGCCCAAGGGGTAACACAAGAAGCCACAAAATGGCGAACAAAGGAACCCAACCACTGCAAGTCCTGCCAACCTAGCCCAGCACAAAAACTGCAGCCCAGGCATGCAGCAGCAAAGCAGCCACCGCTGCCGTCATCATATGTCAAGAGCTGCTGCTGCGGCTGTTGCTGCGGCTGCTGTTGCTGCTGTTGTTGATGTTGTTGCTGTTGCCGCTGTTGCTGGTGCTGCTGTTGTTGCTGCGGAGGTGTAGGCTTATTTGGTGACAACGAAGTGGTGGTGGTGGCCGTCAACCGCGCAGCTACGGGAATTTTTTCTGTTGAGCAAATTATGGAGCGTGCACGCTGTTGCTCCAGCTGATTCAACGGGACTTGATTTTGCTGTTCCCGCTGCTGCTTTCCGAATTGCGGCGCGGAAAGGTCCTCTTGCGTGACAGCAGCCGAATAGTTTGCGTGAGGGGGAGAGGGATGCGTCAGGAGAGTTGGTGTGAGATTAGCGCTTAAGGCTTTGTGAAAGCAAAAGGACAAAGACTGCGAATAGAGAAACCGAATGGCCGGAAGCAGCTGCAGAAGAGTAATAAGCAACGCACGTCCAACACAACACCACTACTAATGCACGTGCTGATAGTAGGAAGATTCAGTTGCTGACAGTAGGAAGATTCTGTTGGGATTTACGCATCAGCCGGCCACGTGGTGCTAGTGCTAATGTTACCTGTAGCTGTCGTTTGTCAGCGCACCCACGGCCCAGCGTAAGCAAGTGGCAGTTGGCTGGAGGAAAGACGGCACACAGCCGTTCCATTATTTCTGTGGTTCTCGTATTGTTCTGGTGGTGCCCCGGAGACCCCCCTACTGCCCCTAACAGCGAGTCCTCTGACTTCACTGGCCCAGTCAGATCTGTCACTGGTCCTTCTGCAGACGAAACCCCACCGCAACTAGGTTCAAAAGACGAAGCCTGCGAGTGTGGGACCCCAACAGACCCTATATGCCGTTTCTGCATCCTGGCGTCGTAAGCATCTGGGTGCACATCTAAAAGAATAACGGCCCTAACAGGGTTCGGGTCGAGTACGTATTGCCTGCACATTTGTGGAAGGTTAGAAGGCTGGAGCAGGCTCTCTAGCGCAGCGACAGGATCCACGTCTCGGGTGCTGACGACTAAGATGAGTCCGACAGGCTGCGACAGAGTTTCATGTGGGCTGAAGCGGGACCCCTCGAAAATCACACGTCGCCACTCTTCATACCAAGGCAACTCAGCTCCATTAGGCGCCCCTGCGGCGGCAGCTGAGGGGCTCCCAATGGCCCCGTTTATGCCGAGGGAGCCCGAGTGCATCTGCTCCCGCAGTTCGCTGACGCTTGGCGACGCGAGCAAGAGGGAACGTGCAGCGAGAGATTCTACATCTGAACAGGGAATGGGTTCTGCTTCCTCCAGATTAAGAAATCGAACGCAGAACGCACGTGAGAGTCGTCTCAGGTTGCCACCGCTGCTCGCGCTGCTGGCTTTGGTGCTGCTGCCCGAGCCGGCAGCAGTAGCATACTCGACGCACAAACGCAGTGATACCGGAGGTACCTTAGGCACTACGTGCGGACAGCCGCTCAGCTGGCTCAGCTGTTCTGGGGAGAATTCATCTTCCTCATCAGATGCGGCGCCCGAAACCGGGGAGTCTGCTGCACTCCCAGGTGAGTGGCGTTCAGGTGAACCTCCATGACTCCTGAGCCTATCATTGACGCGGTGCACGACCTCTCCATTAAACGGCTGGAACAGACACGCCAAGGACAGTCCAGTTAGGAATGCAACTTCCCTTTTGGCCGTCTCAGACCCCCCGACAAGGATGTACGGCGCAAAGGCACGCGCCAGCCATTGGCGTTTGTGCACGCCGTCGACTTGCATCTTCAGGCGGCCTAAGAAGGGCCTCGGAGAGGTTCCATTGGGGGCTCTGAAGTCACTGAAGCACCAAACACTGCTATCAGCTGCAGCGAAAAGCAGCAAGACAAGCTAGGCCGTCCTCCCGAGCATGGGTAGAGGAGGAGGCATGGCCATGGAAAGTTAAATGGTATGATTGTAGTCTGAGTCGCCCTTGTTAGGTATGTGGAGTCCAATGAGCTAGTATATATAGGCAGCTCTTGCTCACTCCCTGTGCAAGTCCGCTCCAGCACACTTAAGGGTTGGCAGGTAACCATAGGGCGATCGCCTAGATATGCACAGCGACCGATGCAGAAACGTTACCTGGATTCAAACAGAAAATGCAGTAGTACGAGTTTTCTCCTGTGGACAATTCTTTGCCGGCACTGGAGGGGCCTGCAGCCGACGCCGCATGCTGCCACTGCGAGCACCTAGGGGCCCCCCGGATACAGTTTTTCCGCAGATTTTACATTTTACATCGGTCATGCGTTGTATTCATTGAGTTTTCAGCTTTAAGATTCCCACAAATATCGTTTCAGAGCCGCTGCCGCCGTCAGCTGCGCTTTCGCAAACGGTGTTCCCACAAATGTAAGCTAGACTACACTGAGCCCTGCATTCCCCTATGTCTGACGATATACCGTAACATTTTTGTTTGTTACATACGTAGGCTAGTAGAAAAACTGAAAGTGATCTGCAACAGAGGGCTCGCCAGCTGCCGAGTTAGGCGCCAATCATTTGTGAGCTGATGGGTTCTGTTAGTTGCTGTTCTGCGGTGACACTGCGGTTTCTCGAATCGTAACACTGAAGAACCGTCGTAGTATTTTAAGGGTTGAACGCCAAAACAGCAAACAGGAGGCACTAGGAATTGTTCGTTCGACAGAGCAAAGATGTGTCACATATTGGAGTCGATGGAACCGTCCAATTTGCCCAATGGAAAGAAACAACTAGCAGCATAGAAATCGTGCATGGGAATGTAGCAACGGGCAAGAAGGTGTTGTAAAACCTCGAGCTGCATGCTTGTTGTGTGGCGGTTAGTTGGTGATCTAGGGAGGAAAGGCCTTGTGTTTCAATGTAAAGAACTTGAGCCTTTAGATTCCTGCACTCTCGTTCTTCAAAGATTTAGAAATACGCTTAGTAGAGTCTGAGGGCCCTAAGAACGCTGGTGCGCAGTACCGCCAAATCCCCTAACACTAGTTCTGGGCAAAGGTCGAAGACATGCTCATGTGTAGGGCAGGGATTGTTTGGCTGTTGTTTGAGTCTATGTGAATACCTGAATTCTAACCAAAGGCACTTGCAGAGCTCATTAATTATTTGAAGATATCCACACCGATGTGCAATCAGCTGAAACGATGCAATGGTCGTGCTCTGAACTGCAGGTTGTGCCGCGGGTCAGACTCTTTCAGGCATACAAATGATTCCATCACCGTCATTCAGTGAGATAAGAAATGTAGGTGTGCCCTAGACCAACTCTCACAATATCTACCTGCTGTCATGAGATGCGGCGTTGCTTCCACAGGAAAATAGGGAAAGTACAATACCCACGCGTATTAGGACCCCACAATTGGCTGTTGTCTGGCTTAAGGGAAGTATTGTTGCAGAAAGACTGGCTCTGCCTCCAATTCACAGCTTAACTTGAACCAGTGATGGGCTGAATATCTAGACTCAAGGCTACTCGCAGCTTCATGCTCCACAGATTCTCCTCAGCTAGCTGGCTCGAGCTATCTGTCTGCAATGCTCTCGTGTCAGCCTCCTCAGATAGGATAGACGCTTTTTGGGTACTTAAGAGTAGTACACCAGGTAAGCTGTGTACGTGAACACTGTCCGTTGGGTTGCAGGGACTGCAGGCGCCCAGTACGAGGACCAAGTAGCCCCTTCCCAGCAGTTTCGTATTCTCTGCTGCGTATATCTCAGCTACACGGTGCAGCAGATTACAACGAGCGTTCTAGACGGGCTGCTATATATTGTCCCAGGTGCTCCGTTTGCCTGATACAGGGAGCCATTTCAGTAGCTATTCTTGCTAGAGAATAATTCTGTATTCAACTGCCCGCCGATGCTAAAACGGACGCTGTTGGAGTCCTCTGAGAGCTTAAAACGCCGTTGGCAAGGTCAGGCCACGTAGCTGCACTGCAAAATAAGAAATTGACTGACATCCAATTGATTGAAAAGAAAAACTAGTGCAGTGCCGCGTATACGCTTACGCAGCGTCGCACCAGCATGGAATAAACCACAGAAACTCAGTTAGAAGCAAGCCATATTCTGTGCATGCGGCTCTGGTTTGGCATGCACAAGGAGCCGCAGTGGCATGCGGGATCACGACACAACTCGTTTCACGCTGGAAGAATGTGCCACTACATGCCAAATAAACGAAAATAACATTGCAGAGCTGTCCATGGCTGTTGTGCAAAGCCCAGTTTGAATATTTAGTTTACTCAAGGGTCCTGCACTGCAGAATCAGAACTGCCCCCATTCTGATCAATAGCGGTCCGAAACAGGGGCCTTGTTCGGATAAAAAACATGCGAATCAACACAGCATACATTGAAAGCAGCAGGCCAATTATCGGGAGCTGCACAATATATAACTCTCTTTCCTCTAAACCCACCGTAAGGTGAAATAATGGACTACATAACAGAGACAGTAACCCTCCAACCATCTGAACAATACCGATAAGTCGGCCAAAGAACTTCGCAGGAAAATTCTCCTCGATGTACACGAATACTTGGGAAACGAACAGTGCCATGTAGACCGTAAAGCACAGAACGGAAAAGATGCCCATAGCGAGCGTTTGCTTCAAGCTGAAAACGTACGCCAGGACGCCTGCCGTATTCACGACCCCCATTACTGCCAGAATGCCAATAGTCTCCGACAGTTTCCCCAAAATTATGCATGGGATGAACGAGAAGGGCAGCGCACTACCTAAGAAGTCCTCTGCAGCCGGGACGAGAATTCGGTCATGGGCTTCCTGATAGAAAGCCGTAATGCATCCTACTGCAACGAAGTAGACAACAATGAGTATATATTTTTCTGAAAACATGGTCTTCAAGAAGGGGTGATTCGGTTGTGCCTCATGAGGTTCGTCAGGCTCCTGCTGGCCCTTTGTTTCGATTGGGGCCAGTGACTCTGCGTCTGAGTCTCCAGTTTCCTGCTCTGAAAGCGGTGGAAACTTTTCTGCTACAGAGTGCTCGCTCATTTCCAAAATCTGGCCCTCTCCAAGGCCATCGTCGAACGCAATGAATGGCTTCAGTGGCATCACCAGTGCGTCAACTGCAAGGAAAAGGCAAGGGCCAAATCCAACGTACCACCAGCAGCCCGAAATGCCACCATCTGTTAGGTACGTGTTTAAAATAAGCGGAATAGCGAAGGAGGCAGAAGATGCGGAGCCCATCAACGTGATGATCGTGGCAGCAGACCCGGGAAACAGGCGCGTGATGAGCAGAGTGGGAAGAAAAGCTGTGTCTGCGCCGAGGCCCATGCAGATAAAGCCCATGTAAGCACGCACGCGGGAATCTGCATTGAGCGTGGAGATGAGACACCATGCTGTGATGTTAAAGCATTGTCCAATCATCGAGGTGATCTTTGGGCCCAACGTGTCCATCATTGCGCCAGCAACAGCACTCATCGTGCAGTGGGTGGCCAACGTGATGACGAACAAGCTCTGTACTGAAGCATCCTGTTGATCACATATGTAGTTGTTGCCTTGTTGACGCTGGTCGTTTACAAAACCTCCCTTACCGTCAGGAGTGCACTTGAAACTGAATACTCCGGCCTTGAGGAGCACTGCTGAAAGCGGCGCCCAGCCAAAGTAAACGCACCCTGTCATAAACGTCTGGAGGATGTAGAGTAAAAGCAAAACGTAACGGTTCAAGTTGAGGGGCGTAGCTTGTTTGGCGCCTGGCAAGTCTGCCCGCGGCAGCGCGCGGCGCACCACCTGCAGGGCTTTCAAGGCCCACCAGCCTCCAGAATCTTTTTGCTCCGTCATGTTCTGGCATAAAAGAAGAAAGGGAAGAAGCCGTCAAACGTCACCGCCGTGGGCGAGACAAGAGACTTCGCGAGGCGTACCAGTGGTCACTGCTCAGGGGGGCCCTCGTTCGATGTTAACTGCCGCACCCTTGAAGAGTAGAACATGAAGCAGCAACCAGAGTGGGACTCAATTGACATATGAAATGATTCCCATGATTGCTCTTAGCACGTAGCCACGTTGTTAAGTTCGCGTATACATTGGGCACCAGGCTGGTCCAGCATGCGCCTAGCGTCGTCTCGGTCATGCTCAAACGAGCCACGGGAAGTGTGGTAAAAAGGGAACAAAATTTCTCTCGCCAAGTAAATATTTTATCACTCTTCATGAAAGAAGAGTTTCATGTGGGGAGCTTTGACGAAATCTAAGTCGAGGTGCCCAATGCAACAATTCCCCGGCATTGACGCTCCTTGCATGGGTTGCTTCAGGATGCTTATCTGCATGCATCATTCTGAAAGACTACGCAGTGAGAATAACCGTAGACGTTTTGTGACATCTTGTCAATCATAAAGGGAAAAGTCGCGATGCATTTTTATGTAGATCATCTGCCGGTTACGATCGCTATTACTCACCAGCGCGCGGCCAGCTACGCCTATGAGCACTAATACGCGTGCCCGCCTTTGGGGAAAAGACCAAAACGGTAAAAGGATTGAATTTCAGAACAGTCTAGCTGCTGGGTTCATGCTGCACTGCTTTGCTACGGTGAGGGGCGGTGTGTTGACTACTGGAGGTTGTTAATGCCAACTTTTGTCCTCAGTATTTCATATAAATTAGACTGCTCAAATTGTTTTCGTACTGGCACTAGGTTTCGTCCAAAAGGGGTGGAGCAAATCTTGAGTGGGAAGTTGTATCAGGAGACGGCATCGACCTTCTGGTTGTCTCACAGGTAGTCAGTTTCCCAAATGAGCTTAGCTGCTAAATGGGGCAATTAAGCGTGGCACTTTCAAGTAGGTCACGTAAGCCACTGAGAGGGACACAACATGCGGTAGTTTAGTTTTAGCAACACTTGCAACATATGGACAGTTTCACTCCAGCTGTGTGTCAAAATGGATGCCAGCTGAAGGGTCGCGCGTGACACTATTCAAAAGCACCAATACGTGCCTGCAACTTAGAATTGCCTGTTTGTTTGCTTGCAACTGTCCCAGCTTCACATGTTTCATAGAAAACGTGGGGGGAGAGGAAATGGTCCGCTCTGTGCTAACAGACTCCACAGGACTTTTATGGCCCTTTATCGGACCTGAAAAAGGTATTTAGGCAGACAAGCACCTTCTATCATTACTGTCTGCTACTTGGGAGAAAAACCAAAAAGTTTAATCACTCAGGTCGGAAAAATCCTTTCATGGGCATGTGTGACATTCAGTCTCACCTTGGAGAGTTGCGCAAGGCCACGTTTTAGGATACTTGCTCCACTTGTGATCCGAAAACTTTCATTCGAATGAGAAACCAAACAGTTTTTTCATTGGATCGCCTGTCAGCTGTATATTTCATTGTCAAAGAGTGTCCAAAGTCTTTACTTTGTAGCCGAAGCAACGGCCATCCTCTATATTCAAAGATTTGTTCGCGTGGATTATTTTATATCTGTCAATGTCTTGTAATCTTCAACTCGATTTTTCCGCTTGCGACGAGCTCAAATCTGCTAGTATTACGTTGTTTGCTTCTTCACTTTACCTTTCCAAAAGTGCTTCTGATAGTGCGTGGAAACACCAGTGGTGCCCTCCCACTACATTGTATTAGCAGTGCTATGCTTCGCACCGTGCTAGTGGAAACCTCGTCAATGGAATTCAACTTTAGCCGGCTAAAGCAAGGCCACTGGAGATGAAAGGAGCGCATTTGACGGTTGAGCTTGGGAGCTGAGAAGATGGGGCCTCAGCAATGGTGGGTCAAAGAGAGAGAATAGTGCATAAAGAGAAGTAGTGAATGATCCTCACAAGAAGAATCAACGTATTTATTTGCTTTTCAGAGTGCAGGCGTCGACTGGAACTGCTGTTCCCCCAGGCAAGCTCGGTGATGGTCAGCCACCGAACCAGCAACTGATATGCTAATGCCAAATGATTCTCCGTTTGCTGAAAGGCATCATACTCGTAGGGTAGCACGTTAAAAGGAAAAGATAGGACCGATGACTACGAGGGTCAGCATGCTGTGAACAGATGTCAGTCCTGTTGGTAAACAGGCTTCGTGGAGTCTCACATTTTGGATCGATTTCATTTGCCTAAATCATGCTCATCTCCTAGATAATATACCTTGTTGTAAATGTTTTGAGGTCTTCGTCAGCTCTTCAGTCTGTTTTCCCGCGCCTTTGAGGCCCGTTCAGGTTGGGGCTGGAGTGGACCAAATCCGCACATTTGATTTCTGTGCGATCGACAATCGTTAACCCATTGGCAATGTCACCTTTTCGTATTAATATGGGCGAGAGTGAGTAGAGAATCCCTTTTTTGGCTTCGTCTCAGTGGCAACGTGTTCACTGGGATATCATGGACCGCAGGCGGGTTTTTCAGCGGCGGACTGATTGAGTGTTTCATTTGGCTCAAACAACCTTCTACAAGCAAGGAGGCTGAATATTTTTTTCTGCTTTAGCGGCTTTTAGGCCGAAGCATTTCCTTTGTTTCGCCGAACAGAAACCGCGCGCAGCCAGGGGTCACAGGAGTCGTGGTCACCCACGAGCCGTGATCGACAAAAAGGCCGTTGCTGCTGGCTTCCTAGCCGTCGCCTCTCACTAGAAGTTTTAAAGATATTAGCTTTTCTCACATGACACTAAACGAAGACTCCTCCGCATGGCTTTGCTTCCTTCCCTGCTGAGGAACCGCGTAGTGTGCTCGCTGTCTTGCAATCCCCCGCGGGGTGCGTATATCAGAGAGCACCGCAAGCACTTAGCGGCCTGCTGAAAGATGTTTGCATCTCCATTGCCACCTGGACCGGATCTGCCATCTGTTACTTCCGCCGGTGCCGCTGGCTTTGTGACCAGTGGAACGGAGTCACTGCGACGCGGCGCTGAACAGCGTCAGGGACTCAAGAACTACCCTGAGGACAATCCCGACGGAAAACTCACAGGTGCATATACAGAGGGGACAAAGCTCACAGGAACCAACGCTTGCCCCGTCAAGCGCCTAACATCTGTTGATGTTGAAGGCAGTGATGTAAACTTGACTGCCAGTCTAGACACTTTCATTGCTGGCGTCCAGGGACAGCGCACACAGAACTATCAAACTACTGTGACACCCCACAGTCCCCAACCTGAAAGCAAAGACGAAGCTGGTGCCATCCACACGGGTAGTGCCAGGAACCCAGGAGAAGGAATACCTGGGGTAACTCGTGAACTACGCAGGGGCGGCACCATGGAAGGCTACGGTCGCTCATCGTACATGCAGTCAGCACTTGGCTCTGTATTCCCTGAAGCGTATGCAAATAGCTACGTGGTGCCGAGAGAAGGTGAAGCGGCTTCATTGCCAACTACCAGCTCGTACCAGGTGGTCCTTTCGGATGGGACGTCCTACCCATCGGCAGTCTTTCCTGGAGGTGAGCAAGCTCATCCCTATGTACACCTGCTGTGTTTCACAGCTTGGTGGCGTGTGCTAATTATGCTTTCGCTTCAAAGTGGGGAAGCCACTGTGCTGGTCCTGTGCTATCTTCAGTCAGCGGTCGGGAATCCGTTACGAGGAGTCAACTTCCGCACCCTGCTGCGCCTCATAGCTATTTCTCCCCTGCAAACGTTGCTCAGGAGATTCCATCTTATCCGTATACGGAAAGTACAAATTCACACAGTGCTGGCTTGCACAGTGCACTGCAGCGATGGCAACAGGAAGCCCTTGTTCCCGCTACCTGCCAGTGCCTTTGCACGTTTTTCACCTGCCCGTGCAGAATGCGGTTTTTTTCCTCTCAGCAATCCACTACGCGGAGCCGGCAACTACTGTGTCCCCGGTAACTGGTGGGACAACTAATTACTACACTTCATGTAAGGTTGAGTGCCAGACAGCTGTAGCTGACACACATCTTTTGTTCGAAGAAGCCTTTTGAGGTGAAATGAGTTGAACGTAGGTATCAGTCCCAAGGTTGTGTTCCCATCCGAAAAGTTCAGTTTCTGCGTTTGCACTTGAATAACATGTTATTGACCTTGTTTTGCAAGTCTGTTGCTCAATTATCTTGGGTTCAGGTTACCGCCGACAATTCCCAGCCTCGCCGATCGTGGCCGACTCTGCGGCGGTAGACGATGATGGAGTCCCTGCTGTCTCGCTGCCTCACGAGAAGGATTTTGCAGGGCGTAAAAGCCACGCAGTTTCGGATCAACAAAAGGCACAGAATGCTGAGGCTGCTGATAGGCCTACCATTACCAGTTTGACCGAGCCAATGCTGTTGGTCGATGGAATAATGGGTCTTCCACTCAGAGGACAGGCTCCTTCAGATCGCGGAACAGCTCTTCTAAGCAATCCACTAGCCCACAGTAGAGACGGCAGGCTAATAACTACAAAAAAGAAACTACTGGTAGGGCAGAAGGAAACCTTAGAATAATATTCTCATAGTTCCCGTCATTCCAGTCGTCAGTCGCAAATGACGACTGATGTTTTGTTTATTCTGCTCTGCTCAGCCTCGGCCCATGCAACTAATTCACGTGAATCGCTGGGACGGCAAAGAAGTCCTCACTGTTGGTAAGATTACTTTTTCCCTAATCAGGTCGTTCCGTTTGCAGCAGTCGAGGGCTCTGTTGCATGGTTTGCGTCCAGCGCTAGATTTTCTGGATGAGCTCTGCAGCACATTCGGAAGCTGATTTTTGCCTTCGATTATGCTTCAGATGAAGGCGCTCGCCGGTGGCTAGCAGAGCTGTCAACTCGATACGTCGCCGTTATTTCAATTTGTGGAGAGCTTCAGACTGGCAAGTCAGGGCTAGCAAATCTTCTCCTTGACGAGTGGGTTTTTGCTTATTCCACTGCAGTTTATGACGGCATATCTAGACTTCGGCAAGGCACACGCAC